ACCATAGCAATCTGTAATTGCGTGAAAGTAATAAGTTCATAAACTAAAGAATTTGTCTCTGTAAATTTAAAGCATCATTTTTGAAAATTCTCCAACAAAAAGTAGCTTTTTGTGGCCATTCTTTACCCTCATTCATTTGGACTTCATCTACCAAAGTACAGCAGATTATCGAGGTGGAAATTAACCTCACAAATTGGTTCTGGTGTGAAGAAAATGGTTGACGTATCCTGAACCGTCACAAGAAGTCTTATGGAGGAAGAATTTTCTCAACATTAAACAGTTCGGTTTTAACCCCTCTCTAAATAATGCCAAATTATGCCAACAGATTTAAAATGAGTGGAGGATGCCTTTGCCATCCTCCACTCAAACTCTTTTTTTTTGACTAACCTATGTCAGCAGGATTGTTTTTGCAGCTTTTTTTTTTTTATCATGAGGCACAACTAAAAACAACAACCCATGCAGAATGTGGACTGTCAGGTTTTGGGGGCGGGGGATTAACAGTGGTTTAATTTATCACGCATCTTTTAATGTTGCACATTTCCTCTGACGTCAGAGGAATTCTTGTACGCTGTACAAGAATAATTGAGCATAATTCTATTGCTAAAATCAGAGCTTTTATTCTTGCAAGGGCAGAATTTCACCCCAGTCTCTTTTGTGGTGCCTGAACAGGACTTTGAGATGATTATCATGATATATTTATACAAGGTTTTGCTATGCTGCAATCTGAGACTAATGCTTATAAGTCAAGGGTTTGGGACAAGTTAATTCACCGAAGCTGCAGGAGTCATTGGATTCAGTTCAAAGCAACACTGATTTAGCTAGTAGTTATAGGAAGGGGAAGAGGACTGTATCTTACACAGACAGCACAGTTATATCTGGCAGTGAAACTACAGACAGCAAAAGCCTATGCCTATAGTTGAATGTCTTAACATCGTTTTAGAGCGTGTGAACTCTGAGCAATATTTACTTCTGGATGAGCTTGGAGATGACTGTGAGCTCTGTCAGCTGCTGGTTTCTGGTCTGAGACCAGACGTTGTGTGCCGGTATGTCTCCAGTCCAGTAGACCCAGTCCCAAGGTCCGGCTTTAGCAGCATTTTCCAGGAGGTTCTCCACCGTGCGTAGAGGCAGGTCACACTTGCTGTAGGTTCCCCAGTAACCAGCCCCTCTCCTCTTCCATTTGGGAACACCTGAGTCTGCGCGACAGCAGAGAGGCTCCCTGCAGTCGGCAGGGCTGCCAGTTTCATATTCCTGTCAGCAAAGAGATTTTAAGCGTAAACTGCAGACGTGTCTCAAAACTTTTCTTTGCCGTACTGCACGTTATTTTTCCACTGATACTGGAGCCCTTTACTGACCACGACAAGATCGAACCAAATCATATTTGGACTTCTTAAATTCTGCACACACTCACCTTGTCCCAGTGGATGTCTGTGAGAAACAGCACCCTACTCTGTGGAGAGCCAGGTTTAGGAGGTGAGGGCGGCGTGACAGGAGGCTTGGGAACCTTTGGCAAAGTGATGTTCCACGGTGCGTAGATGTCAAATGTGCCACACGAAGGCCCCACCAATACCGCACATGCTTCAGTGGGAGACAGCACAGACTGCTGCAAGGCCCTGATGAAGTCGTCCCTGAACAGCTCGGTTATGTTGCGACACACATGCTCGTCAGCCAGATGCAGATGGATGCATGCCTCGCTGACTACATGTGCCACCCGCTCTTCATTTGAACTGCTCTAAGAGAAGCAATAAAGCAGAAAAAGACTATTGGAGCAGAACGTTGCATGTGAAATACTTCCTGAAAAATAAGTCAAGCTTAAATGAGTCTATTCAAATCTATAGTGCATTAAGGGAATCCTTTGGTTTGGTGCTAATAATCACAAAATCTAATGCATGTCTTAGGACAAATTTCACGTTTACTGGCAAACTAAAGAAACCCAGCATGTATATTTAGAAGTTCCTTGTTAATGAAGGAAATGAGAAAAAAACTGTACAAGTAGAGAACAAAAGCCAAGTGACAGCAGTTTACGTTTAGTACAGATTAAAAAAGTAAAAATATGCACACACAATGAAGCAAACATGTTTTTCTACATCTATCTGGGATGTTAAATTGGTGATTAATGGTGGAATTCGAACAATTATTGTAATTCATTCTAAAAATAAGAATAAAGAAACTGTTTCGCAAGGAGCAGGAGTTCATTGGGAAGTTCATCAGAGTGTACTGCAGTGAAAGTTGTTTCGTAATCTTGAACTTGTTTTGTGTGTGTTGCTGTGCATGTGGACTTGTATGCAAATTGTAATGACTAATATTGATTTGTAAACTTAATAATTAGTACCAAAGAGTGATGTTGGATCAAATAAGTGGAAACTTCAACAGTATTTCTATATCATGGACAACTATGATAATATAGGTACTAATTGATCTTCTCACAGTTGCAGCAGGTATGCAAGTGTTTCAAACTGACCACACATCAGTGGGACTTTTTTTTTTAATCCATTTTCAGAACCGAAGATTTAAAGTTTTCTTATGTACGCTATCGATATCCTGCTTCCGTAACATTTAGCTAAGACTTCGATTCCCATAGGAGATCACTCTTAGTTATTTTGGGGTCCTATCATTTTCTAAATAGGGATCAGAACCCATTTAGATACAAATGCAAAGCTTTGGAAACGACAGTGATATGCAGTTGCTTAAACAAGCAAAAGTGTTAACAGGGATGAAGCGAAAGCAGGAACAAAGACCAGCTCAGACACAAGCTGCAGAACGTATTTAATTAAAATTCAAATAGGATTTTTTAATGAGCCTTTTATTCACATAAATATGATTAACTTAATGATACAAGTTAGCGAAGTCTTTCCTTGCTAAATAGACCACCGAAAGTTCCGTTTGTTCTGTCACCGCAATCTTTGCTGGTTAGTTATCAGTTTAAAGAGGTTTTAACTATTTGAGCATGTTCTGTGGGTATATTGACATCTGTAGCAGTCTGCCAATAATAAAAGATTCCACCTAGTTAAATATATTACATTTTTACTACAATTTAAAGACTAAATAATATTGTAAAAATGTTGCACATGTTAGGTTGTGCCATCCAGCCTTAAGTAGATGCATTATTGCAATTTTGTTCCTCTTTTCAAACCCCAGTGTTCTGTTTGTGTTGCAAGAAAAGCAACTTGTTTTGCAGTGTTCAGTGTCACAATAACAGACATAGATTTTCTACTCTACTCTGAGCAAGTAACAGATAAAGATTTTCTACTCTACTTTGAGTAAGAGGCAAAAGGTTTACCAAAAGTGCGATGTCAAGAATGGTGAAGATCGCTTTACAAATGGGACATGTGAGGTTTCTCCAGGGGAAGCCGAGTCCGTGGGTTTCGAACTGCTCCACCAACACGGTCCTGGTCTGAGCTTGATACTGAGCCGGATGACAGGACCCGAACAGCGGCGACATCAGGAGCAAAGTACAGGTCATGAGTCCCAGGAAGGGGCGCAGCGTGGGGAGCCTCATTGTTCTGACGGCAGCGTGTCTGAGCTGAAAGAAGCAAATGCAGCAGGTAAACCCTGCTGCTTCAAGGAAATGACACCAGTCTGACATTCAAACTCGCTAAAGAAATATGAGTCATTCACAACCGCAAACAAAAAAAAATGTGAACCGATAAAACATCAAGCCAGCCAACAGCTAACTCTACTGCTCATACCGTACCTCTAAAAGGAATAAAAGTGCCGCTGTCTTCTCCAGGGAGTTCCAGGTGTGGTGAACTAAAGCAACTCCAAGTTCCAGTTCCACTTCCCCGGAGAAGTCAACTGAAACCAGGTCAGACGAGTCTTTTTGACATGTTCGACTGGAAGCACCTCTGCTTGTTCAGATGCGCAACTCTATACGTCGTCCCGGCTGTGGCTGCCCGCTGTCACGTGACCGTCAGCTCGTCAGCTGATGGATCACGTGTCATTTGTTTTTCCTTCTCTTCCTAATTGATCAAACAGCAGGGGACAATATTATGCATAATAATGCTACGGAGCTCCCTTGGGATTTTTATTTTGCAGAATATATGCAGTTTTTCTAATCTGTTCTAATTCTCTCGCGACGTCAAACTGCAAATCAGAAAGCTGCATAAATGTGGGATCCCGTATCAAACCACACATATCGTTGCCTACATTTTAGATAAGAATAACAGCTTTGGTCCCAGTAAAGTGTAACTACATGGAAGATATGAGGAATTTATTTACTGTGCGTTTTAACCTTTAGAAACCATGTGATTGCATATCTTGCAGATCGATAATCAATTGTTCCTGCTACTTCAAAATAACATTCCAAACATGAGCTTGTTTGCTTTCGACACTCAGCAATTACTCAAATTCAACATCTCAAACAAAGAAGGGCTCTACTTTTTGAGCTATTAAGAAAATGCTTAAGTTTAGTTTTATCTGCACTACTCACCAGAATTCTCATTACACGTTTTCACCTTCCCCATATTCAAACATTGTCCTGGTCATCTAAAGTTAATTCAGTCTCAATCCTGGTGCTTAGGTCTCACTATTCATCATGTTTAAGGCAATTTCCTCCCTCCACAAACTCGGCTTAAGTAATGGGTGATAAACATTCTTCAGCAGCACTTGATGGCACACTGAGAAAACAATGCACTCATTTGAATCAGGGGTGCTGTAGCAGAGATACATTCAAAACATGAATGACAGTGAGCCGTGACTTTTAAGTATGTGCTCACTATAAAACATTATTTTGAAACATAAAGGTGAATAAGTCTTCCGATCACATTACTTATATATAGGTAAGTTAGACATGCACAAATAAAAATTTGAATGCATTATTTTCATTAATTTTACATGTTTTATATTGAAATAAATATATATTTTTTTAAAATAGTCTGTTTTAATGTTCAAAAAATACAAAAAGGTTCACCAGTAAGGTAAAAGACTATAAAAGACCAGAAAAAACTGCCTATATTCTATTTAACCCCTTAATCTGTACCAGTATGACACAAGACAACAAATTTGATAGGCGTTTTAATTTGCTAAATTTGCCTATTTAGCAAAATTACACCATGGTTCAAAGAATCATTTCTTCAAATGTAATGAAATCTGACAACAAAAGGCCACTGCAAAATTCACAGCAGATGAGAAATAATTCATGTGCTAAGTGCTTCACAAAGGGAAGATAATACACTAGAAGTATTTGTCATAAATATAAAATTTTATTTCATCTGCTGTAGCAGGCGTGTATAAAAAGCTATAATTCTATACACATTTCTTTGGATCAGCTTCTGTCTCGTGAATCACTGAAATGTAATTCACACTGCAGATACAATTTTCAATATTCCAACAAGAACATTTGAGTGATTATATAAGAGCAACACAGGCAAAGTTAACACATAAACTTCAAATTAACTTGCACAAAACAAGCATTACGTGTTTAAAATACGAGCAGTAACAGTGGTTTGTGGCTGTATTTACAGTGGCGTAGCAGATACATGGACTGGAGTGAAGCTAACGAGTGGTTGGGTAATAAAACAAAACAAAAGTCTTGGACACATCGACTCTAAGACATTCACTTGTCTTGCATCTTTTCCAAAATGGGAACAATCATGTCGAACTTGGGCCTCTTGGCTGGGTCTTCGTTCATGCAGAGCCTCATCAGCTTGCAGATGTGAGGAGAGATGCCTGGTGGAATGGTTGGCCGGAGTCCCTCCAGAGCGATCTGAGTAGTGGGAGGAAAACGATGTGCTGCTGTAAGTGTCATGTACAGTGCATTGCAAAAATATTTCACACTTGTCACAGAACTTTTAACATCTTGCTACACTACGTGTAGCAGAACAATCCCCAGAACCGAACTAAGCGTGGCAGAATCAAGGTGTTGGATGTTTTTCCTCAGCAATAATAGTCAAGAGTTTATTGGAACTTGGCTGAAGCTAAATACAGGCTAAGAAGCCAATATTGATTCAGACAGGCTCGATACGACTGATGCAATACCGAACACTTTCTACAGATAAAAGAAAATTTTAAAGACAATGTATCCTTTTTTCAGCTTCACAATTATGCTCTAGTTTGAGTTTGTATAAATGTCTTGTTGAAAAACAAGGAAATTTGTTGTTCCTGTGAGATAATTTTTTTAATATTTCAGAGGATATGAATAATTTTGCAATGCACTCTGAAAAATATAGAGTTTGAGCATTTTGGTGTGTTGCTACCTTCATCCCTATCTCCATGTTTGAGAGATCAGCAAAGGGAACCTCTCTGGTAACCAGCTCCCATAGTAACACTGCGAAGCTCCACATGTCAGCAGATCTTCTGTTGATGTCTTCTGGCTTTTTCTGCAGTGCTGAAAGCGGTAAGAAGGAGGATATGAGAAACATTAATGGAAAAGGAAGGAGACAGGTCTGGGAAGATCCAAGGGGGGGAACAAATACCTTCGGGGGCCATCCAGGCTGGTGAGTACATGCGCCCAGGACACTGGAAGGAGAATTTAGCATCTGCCATGCTTATTCTGGCTGTCATATCCTCATCAATCTGTAAATTAAACACAATGGGTAAAGACTCGCCATACATAAAAGTGCCAAATAACACAAGGAATTCCCCTGCTTGCTTATACACTGTGCCTACCACAATTAATAGAGCACTTAATGTGTCCAAATGGCTAATATAATGCTTTTTATGCTTATCCCAAAATGCCCCTTTTTTTTATTTCAGTTGTCCAAGAGAAAGTTTTGGATATTTAATTTTTCCTCAACTCCCACACTGTTCTTTACAAAATAACTGTAAGAGTCTCGTATTTCAGTTTCAGTTGTGGCTGATTAATGTTGTGACTGAGGATATAAGTAAGTTTGGATGAGTCATCATTTTCTGTAAGCCATTTCCTGACTTATTAAGACACAGCAGAAAATCAGCTGTTGACTGTTTTTGGGCTCATGTCATACTGTATTTTTTTTTTTTTTTGCCAAGAAAAAATATTGATTAAAAACTGATTAAAAGTTCACTAGCACTCATTTCAACTTGAAAAACATTTATTTTAATAGAAATTGCTCAGAGAGCCACTAAGCCTGTGGCCAGTTATTAACTGATTTTAAGGCTTTTCAAACATTCTAACCTGAAGTAGCAACGGTTGTGTAGAGTGACGTACCAGAGGTGCCTTACCATGATATGCTTACTATTGAGGTAAAGCCGTGAAACCATCGGCTCTAAGGTGTGGAGGAACGCCATCCCACTGGCGATGTCCAGGGCAAACTTGACCGCTTGGCTTTGGTCGACCACCAGAGCTGATGAAGACAAGGCGAGAGGGACAACATGTAAAACAACAAACTAAGTAACTAAAAATAAAATTGACATTCAAATGTTATGGATGTCAGTAATGTGTATGCAAATAGGGTTATATTTGTATGCAGATGTATCTCAATAAATTGACATGAGGAACAGTAGCGCCTGCAGCTATACTGTGCGTACCTTGAGCTTTCCTTCGAGTAAAAAATAAATATATATGTGGTTCTGTGGGGGTGTGTGGGCACGTGTACATCCTAAATCTGAATTTTATTGGTTATTTTACATGTGTTTATTTGGTGGCTTGGTGCTCTTTCTGTAAGCTAACTGTGACTGTGCAGTGAAGCTAACAAAAATGAGTAGGTAGATTTTTAAACAGTTAAGTCTACTCAAAACATTTGCAAAAAAAAAAAAAAAAAAGTGGAAATGAAGCAGACGTCGCTTCACTGGGAATTTCCGTCTTCCTCCTCCAGTGGGTAGGCTTTTCTTTCCTGTCTGCATTATTTCTACAAAAAAAAATATTCTATGCTGGCATGTGTATGTGTTTGTGTGGCATTGTGCATATTGGGCGTTGTATTGATTAGGTACATTGTTTCTGTGTGGCAAGTGCATCATGCTCATGTGCCCTGTATTTGTGGAAGCTAGGCTTGTGCTGGTTTGGGGATGTGGTTGTGTTCATGAGGGTCAGGTGCAGTGATGGTGCTGTGTGTACCATCTGATAACGTCCTGTTGGTCGCCCAGACGAGGAATTACCCGTACCTAGAATATTTGTTGTTTGTGCACTTTTTTTCTACCACAGATTTTCCTTCCACTCAACTTTCTTTAAATGTGCATTAACAGAGCATCCTGTGAGCAGACAGCTTTTTGTGGCTTACCCTTCTTGTGGATACCATCAATGACTGTCTACTAGACACCTCTCAAGTCATCAGACTTCCATATGACAGTCTAGTTTCACTTTTTGAATAATCTTGTTTCCCTTTTCATATGTTTACTGCTAACATACATAAACACTTTGAAGAAATTTATATTTGTTTAAATGTAAAATGTAAGACAATATTTTGGTTTGGACTGTTGCTCAGCGAGTTACAGCTATTCTAAGCAGAGGTTTTATAACCTGAGAAAATTAAGACAGCAAATTTCCTTTTTTGTGCTTGCACGTCAACACAAATGACTTACTTGTGCCCTGATGGAGGATGGTGTACAGAGATCCGTATGGCATGTAGTGGGCGATGATGATTGGATGAGGAGAAGGAGGGGACTGACATGCCCCAAGGACAGGCAGAATATTTGGATGAGAAAAGATCCTATAATGGTAAAAAGAGAGACAAACAGCTAAAACTCAACTCTGCTGGGTTAACATAAAATTATGTTATGAGTGAAATTATACTTCACTCAAGGAAATAAGTATAATAATAAAAATATATATTTAACAGTGCGCTTGTATGATCTGGAGTCCTTTTAAGTTCAGTTTTACACCTCATTAACAGAAACTCTTTCATTTTTGCAAAATCTACCCAAGTTAAGCCAAAGTGCTTTTATTTAAACATAAGTTCTCAAAAGAAAGCAAAAGAACTGAAACTCACATTAAAGTAAGAACACAGCTGCGCTTACTCAGTCTCTCCAGTGGGGTTTCTTTGACTTGGTTAGTTTAAAGGCTTCTCTCATTTTTGTTCTGTTTTATTTATTTATTTATTTATTTCCCTTACAGCCTAATGAGTCTCAAAGATGGGAAACGCTGATTAAACTCAGTCCGGATGGTGAAAAAGTAAAACATGCGTTTTATGTTATGCATTGCTAATTGGATGCGGTATTCTTTGCTTTCAGATGCTGCACAAACAGTCGAGAATATGGGTTATGGACGTGCTTCTGGGGTGGGGGAGCTGAGTCAGAATGGGTTAGTGTCAGCACACTAAAGTTTAAGTTATCTTTAAATGTCACGACAGCTAATCCATGCAAAAAATGCACAAAATAAAAACAGACATCACAATTAGTGAGGTCAAAGAAAGTGTCAAAGATGTCTGTTTGACCTTTTTTTGTTGTTGCACAAACATTCTGCAACCGAACTGGATTGAACATTGACCACTGACTCCAAATAAAACTGTTTTTACATAAACATGATTGCGAGTTCAAATATTCACACCTTCCACATTTTGTATGCATACTTTTCCTTTCCTAGATTTATACTCATTCATTATTCACCATGAATATTAAGTTCATTTTTCTTCTATTACTGATTTTGTTCTTACAAAGTGGAATAATTACAAAACAGGCAAGCTCAATTATTTTTGGAAACTAGATTTTGTGCACAAGCTTTATTGTTCGAATGCAGATATTCATCCAAACTGGTTAAATGTCATGAAGAGTCACAGATCTACCTTTCATGGATAGTCCTTACAGTTTCCAAAGGTTTAATATCGTCCTGCTTTATCCATTCCAAAATCAATCTAGATGTGTGTTTGGGGTGATTGTCCACCTGGAACATTCAACTGTGTTGAGGTTTTGATAATCTAAGCTTTGATTTCAGGTGATATTTAAGAATTTGATGAAGTCTTCCTTCTTTTTTATTCCATCCAATGAAACAGTACCACAGCATCATATTACCACCATTGTGCTCGACAGATGGAGAAGCAATCTCAGGTTTGAAACCATTATCATGACTCTCAATCTCAACTACCGTTCAAACTTTGTCTCATTTGACCATATAACCTTTTTGTATAAGTTTAAAATAAACGCTTACCAATTCTGCCGAGAAGAGTGAACAAACCCAGGATGACTGCTTTGGCTTACTGGTGTGTAGTTTCTCTGCTATATATTTGAATCTGCATGTATAATTCTGGCCATATGTAAAATAGAGAAAACCCACAATACATTCACACTTGTGCAACCAATTTTTAAAAAATGACTTAAGTTGTTTTGTTTTTGTTGTTTGCGATTGTTCAAGAAAATAATTAAAATTAATAAAATTAATTGAAAATGAATGTTTGTGAACTTGTGACCATAAATTTATCTCACAATAAATGCAAACAGTCTAGCTGTAAATAACCTGAGTTTGGGGTGCTCCTCGTTAAAGTCTCTGCTCTTCCTGGTGGTCCAGTCTCTCACGTGCAGCACCTTCACCACAATCTCATCCCCTTGCCACCGGCCCTGCCACAACTAAAAGAAGAGCACACACTCCAGTGATCAGCCAGATGAGCTAAAAAAAAATAAAAATAAATAAATAAAATACTGTCAGTCAGCAGTAAAAGCAGCTGACCTCTCCGGACTGGTTCTCATTGATCTTTGCCAGGAGCGAGAGCTGCTTAAAATCAATACCGGCTTGCTTATTGAGGGTGCCGTTACCTGTGGGATGAAAAATATGAATAAAAGAGCATGAATCCTAATTTCGCATCATATTTTGATCTTATTTTATTAGAAATCCTACTCACGGGGTCGCGTTCTCATTGTACCCTTCCAGAACGTTTCCTTGTATGGGATTTTGGCCATGTTCTGGCCCATTTTCTCTGCCTTTTCTAAAATAAGCAACAACAAAAAAACATTTAAAATATAAGAATAGTGCTCTTAATTTGCTTTTAAAGTCTCTTTATCCAAGAAAAAAATCTGCTGCAATATTTAAAAGTCTATAAATTAAAAATTCTGACCTTGCAGTAGCTGTTTTAGGTGAGCCTTGGCCTTATCCAGAGGTGTCTGCCCATACCTGTTACATATACACACCTGGGCACCATGGGTTACCAAGTCCTAAAAAGAGATACAACCCTGGAATTACAACCAAATTAAGCATGTACTGATGAAGGAAGCAGGTATTGCTGCAGTAGCGGTCTCTGCCCAGAAGAGGGCGGTTTTTCACCAGCAGATGGAATCCAAAGAGGGACGTGAAAAGTGTGTGTTGGTGTACAACGACGCACCTCTGCAACTTCATCGTGGCCCCAGAAGCAGGCGTAGTGCAGCGGGGTGTTCCCGTGCTCGTTGACTGTATTGGGGTCCGCTTTGCACTGAATCAGCTGTCATCATAAAACACAGCAACAAAAACACATGAGAGAGAGAGAGAGAGAGGGAAAGAAAGAGAGAGCACATCAGCATATGAGCCGTCTTAAAAAGCGAACCTTAGCCACAATGTCCCTGTGTCCGTGGCTTGCAGCCAGATGTAAAGGTGTGTCATCTCCACGGTTCATCACGTTGATTCGAGCCCCTCTCATGATGAGCATGTCAACAACGCCGCTCCTCCCTTCCCTGCACGCCCAGTGGAGCGGGCTGAAGCCATGGTCGTCTCTAACACACAAGACAAATGGAAAATATGAGAGGAAAAAGGAGCCGGGATGTCACATCTTTACATTACATCTGGTCACCAAAACATCCAAACACAAAGAGACGCAAGTGAAACGCTTAACTGTAGTATGGAGAGAGTCTCCATTCAGGTACAGACATTTCCAAATGAATCATAAGCTGTAATAGGAACAGCTCATTTTTAAAATAAATTAGGTATATGAAAGGTTAATGCTTTCTCAAATAAAGAGATAAGACGTTCTGAACTTTTGCAAGAGGGAAAATAACACTTTCAGACAGACATATGATCATTCCAGTCTACCATAATGAAAAGAAAAATTCATCAAGGTTCACCTCACCTCACAAGTGCAAATAATGTAATAACTTTAAAAGTAGCAGGACTAAATTTGACTGTCTCCTTTTTAAAAAGCAGAGCAGTACTCTGGCAAAACTTAAACAGATCGTCTAGGAGAAAAAAACAAAGTACAACGAAAACTTCAAAAGGGTAATTTTTTTTTATTTTGAAAAGACGTCTCCCAAACCAGAGGCACTGTGGTGGCAAGCTCATATTAAATATTTACTAATGATGTGGAAGAAGACAGAAGTAGCATCGTTGAGTTCTGACGTATGGAAAACGAGAAACACTGTCAAATGTGATAGTACTGTATTAGCAAGTGGCCCAAAAAAAGAACAAAAAAATGTTTTTTGTTTAGGTTTAAAAAAAGCACACGCCTCTATGGCTGAGCTTGTCATTTGCTCTCATCTTGATTGAAAAAATGCTGCACTTGTTGTGGAACAAGCTGAAAGCAAGACACATCACATACCAACCAGAATCAGCCCTTAAAAGCACGGCTCTACATGCCAAAAAAAAAAAAAAAAGATCTCTAAGTTCTTCCTAAGATTTTGATATGTATTTCTTCAAATGTCACTGCTGTAAAAAAATACTGTGACAAAATATTTGCATTAACCTGACCAGTCAGTGAGTGTTTCACGTCGCTGTGGTGAATCTTTGGCCACTCTGCAGAACTGTTTTAATTCGGACATATTGGAGGATTTCCCAGCATGAACAGACAGCGTAAGGTCATGCCACAGCATCTCAATCAGATTTAAGTCAAGACTTTGACTAGACCACTGCAAAATTGTAATTTAATCTTTTTTTGAGCTATTCAGATGGAAACTTATGTTTTAAACGCAGCATTTCAGGTGACTAATAATAATAATAATAACATAATTGTGGTTTAAATTTATATAAAACAAATTAATAGACAAGAGAAGTACGGTAATCATACCTATATGGTGCCAGGGAAATTAAGTATAAAAGCCTTCCTAAATGTATTTTTAATACTTATAATATCCTGAATATGGCTAAAATGAAAAGGCAGAGTATTTTTTTATGGAGCGCCCTGCTAACAAAACACTCTCTGTGAGGTTTGCTCTTTGGCACAGGTTCACGCACCCACCTCCTACTAATCTTTATTTAGATTTAAGCACATGCTTCCTCTCAGTGCCTGCAGCCTCTTCCCATCTGATGATTGGCCCGGTGATAAATACTTCTACACAGGCTGGAATGCCTGCTAAACATGTGCAAGGACGCACACAGTCACAGCGTATACATGACCACTTCCAGTCTGCGAGGAGCCAGGCTGTCACCTCCACTGCGGGCCCAACAGGTCAGCTCATTACACTGACCAACCCAGAGTCTCCTGGCTGCTGGGGTTTCTCACAACGCCCCGCGAAGCCACAATCTCTGCTGTTAGTTTAACAATAAACTTCGAGGAGGTCTTTACGAAATAGCAGCTCACACTGAAGAGAAAGAGCAGGGAGGCTCATTCTCTGTCAGTCCCGATGCAGCAGCACTGTGGACAGACAGCTCATAGACTAAACCACCCTGTGGGCTAAAAAAAGTAACGAGGGAAAAAAAAATGCAAGAATGACAGAGTGGAAAATACTCTGAGCTCCACATTCCTTCTAAGTCTGCCTTTTTTTTTTCCATGTGTTTTCCTGTGTCACTCGGTTCTAGAGGCAGAGTGGTTATTTAATGCTTCGCCGGCTGCTCTTAGGCACCTCTTTCAGTTCCAACTTATTATTCCAACAACACATAAAGCCTTTATTCAACGCTTTGGGCACTCTGAGCGGGACAGAGGCGGCCGCGCCACATAGTTGAGCTTCCTCAGAGTAACAGCCAAAGAAGGCCTTCATCATAATGACTGCTTATTCATTTGTTTATGTGTGACTGTAGGGGAGCTGCCTAAGAAGTTCTGTCAGCGATGGGCTTGGCCCTGTATGGAGCTAAGAAGAGGAAATGGACTTGGCTGTTGCGTGGTTGGCCAGCAGCTTCGCAAACTGTACATATATGGCCGGGTCCAAGAATGAGATAACCAGGGTCTTTATTTAAGGCATTTTCTTACTCCTTCTGACGAAGAGAATGTGAAAAGAGGCAAGGGTTTTAGAATTGAACAATTCAGAATAAAAAAGCTGGGACTTTTGATTCCTACAATTGTACTAATATACACTGTTTTATGTGCTATGTTATTCAACAAATTAGAATTGCTGATATATACCCCCCATAAACAGAGCTATGATAACAATTTGTGAACAGAAGCAATCTGTTGGGGCCATAAACAAGGATTTTAGATTCCCCCTTAGTAAGCTAAAGACACTTCTCAGCCATTCAACTCAACTCTTCATAAAATCTAAGCAGCGATGCAAGTCGAAGCACTCTGAGCAATCACAATTTTAATATCCAAAATGTCTCCACAGATACAAAAAAAAAGGCAGCAAAAGTGGTTCATAAAAAAGCTATTTAACAGCAGTTGTGGGTTTGTACTTTTCAAACCAGTGGGTAACATAGTTCTGTGGGGGGGGAAATTAACATCGGGAGCACGTTCACTAAAATCAAAATAAGATTATTATTATTTTGCATTGTTAAAAGTAGTTAACTACAACAAAATCCTGGTGTTTCTGGACTTGCCTATTCCAGGTGTTATAAACTCACACTTTGTGTACCAGCAATATTTCCAGCGAGAGGGATTTAGTCAAACTGCATCTAACGTAGATGGAAGTGCCAGAGATGCTGAGGTTCAAAAAGGGAGGAGGAATGACCATACTGACAGATGAAAAACAGGAAATGAGGAAAACGTGGAAATATCATAGCTGATGTTATCACAAATTTAACGATCTTCCTCACGTTGTTTAGCTTTAATCAGAAAGTTAAAGTTTTGTTTGTGCAGATGAGTTGCGTTTAGCAAAATTATTAGTAAAAAACGACAACAACAACAACAACAAAAAAAAAACAAAGCAAGTTGTGTAATACAGCAGTAATATCCCAATATGTAAACTATGTGTGTACAACAATCACTGTGCATACTCACATGCACATGCTTGCCCATCCTATGAAAAGACCACCAGTTTTTGCAAGACATGTGTTTACCTGTCATTGCACTAACGTCACAGCTGAATTCCAGCATCCAGATGGACCAGAAATCCCTCCCCAGTGCAAACATTAGGGACTGACATAGGAACCTACCCTAAGTTGAGGTCATTCTCTGTGTTGTCCAGCCACAGACGGACAGCCACTGAGTTCCCTTCTCGACACTGCGTGAAGATGTCATCCATGCTTGTGTTGTAGAGTGGCTGCTTGTTCTCCCAGTCTCTTTAAGAAGCAGGGACATAGAGTCTGTAAAAGGATTTGAGAAATTCCTTAGGCGCACTTTTCCCTTCAAGAAAAGCACCAAGTTGTTTTTTTTTTTTTAACAAGTAAATAGAGAAGATAATCGTTTGAGCCGAACTTGCAGTTCAATCATATCAATCCCAAAGCCATAGATTCTGGAATTCCTATATATTTAAACTAATCATTAACTATCATCTTCAGTTGAAATATTAAGAAATAAGTGTGTTGTGAAGTCAACAAATAGTTGGACTTTCCAACATTTCCTCCTTGCCTTTTCTTTCTACGTTGGCTCGGATGGGCTGGCCCCTCTGGATCACAGCTCCTTGTTGCTTTATAACGAATTAAACCCACCACAAAACTTTCAGCACAAACAAAATATGAAGCATTACTGCGTAAATTGAGGGAAAGTGTCGAAAGTCTTACCAGTTGGTATCTTCAGGAGTTCGTTTTTCCTTTTTTCCCCCCCCCCTCTCCAGAACCACCACCGTTCTCCTCTCCACTGGTCGCTCTGAGTCCACGCCCCGCTTTCCGAGTTGATGTGGGCTCCAGATCTGCCCCCTGGCAGCCACGTCCTGGGACAACGACACAACGACGCCCCCTGCAGGAGGCAATGCAGCGATGCGGCTGCCTTTGGGTCATAAATAAATGTTTGAAATTTAGGAGAAATAAAACTTTTAAAATACACAAGCGTTTTTTTTTTTTTTTGGAACAAAATATTTCATCATCTGCAGTATGATCCACAAACAATCATTGGTCACGTTAGAATGGCATATCTTGGTAGAGTCGACACATTTTTGTCTCTGTAATTGCCTTTATTTTTTTTATTTTTTTTGTGGCATAGACTCAAAAAGGTGTTGATCTTGAAACATATCAATATGTCATCACCTGTTGTGAATGGCTATAATGGGGCAAAATTGGATTACAGACCTTTTTGTCTGTCAAGAAAACATTTTGACACAGAAAAATGTAGTTATGTAATGCAAATAATGGCTTAAAAGATAGAAATCAGCAGGAAATAATCACATAATAAGATGGCAAATATTTGACAATGAAAAGCTGTAGTTTACATAAATATCTTACTATGTTTCTCCAGAGTCTGCTTTTATTCGGCAAGTAGAGTTGCACAATATAGAATAGCAATCGCCATGTCGACTTCAGACTCTGCAGTATAGCAAACTCAGAGCACTGCAATATGTGGGAGGATATTATATTTATAAGAGTCATGGTGTAATTGTATGACATAGTCAACTTGTTGGCTGTACTCTAAATAACCTTAATGTCCACCTAACCAGTATCTGAGATAGTAAAGGTCGTGGTCAGTGATAGACATGTAATGACCAAGGAAGAAAACTACCAAAAACTGTGGGTTGATTGTTATGAGTTTAGTCAAATTGCAACTTTATAGTAGGATCTTAATTCCTTACTTTTTTAGGTTAGTGTTCACATAGATTTTTGTTTAACTACATTTAGAAAAGATATTCTAAATACCACTGTTCAGTTATTTAAGAAAATAGCCAAAAAGGTAATATATTTGGGTTCATGTCTTAGAAAACTCTTCCTGAAGGTGCAACACAGACATAAGCATAGATGTTGCCACCTTGGTTCTTTATTGCACTAACCGCAACAAATTTAATGTGAAATATCCTTACAAGAACTAGTTGTTATGTCAGTAGCCACAATAACTCCTCCCCTAAGAAGGCTGCCAAGAACCAGGATCAATGTGCGATATACATTATAAAAGGCCCTATGATGATACAAGAGTGGAGACAAAGTAACCTTTTATTTTATCCGTTTTTGTCCCATTACATCAGTGTTTCTCAACCCTGGTCCTCACCGACCCCCTGCTTTGCATGTTTTAGATGTACCTCTATTCCACAACAGCTGATTCAAATGATTGCATCACCATCAAGTACTGCAGAAGCCTGTTAATCACCCAGAGATACAACTCAGGTGTGTGGCAGAAGGGAAATACCGAAAACATGTAGGATAGGGGAGCGGTGAGGTCCAGGGTTGAGAAACACTGCATTATATCCTTTGATGAGATAATTGTTCAAGCTTTTTAGAATGCAACCGACTGTCTGACGTTGACCATAGAATTATAAGCATCACTAATTATCTTTTTTGCCAATCCTATCAACTTCTTGTTGAATTTTGCCATTGTTGAAAAGCTCAGTTTATCAAAGCCTCAGAAGAAATAGTGTGTTAACAGATGAGAGTAGTAGATCTTTCTATGTCAGATCGTCTAGATAGCAACACGAAGGAAACTATGTGAGGAGGCAGATGTGACCAAGGTCATGACCTCGTTTCACAATCATAACAGTCAGACCTGAAGCTTTGTCAGAACATCCAGCAGGATCGCCTTCAGATCGTTTAAGTCTCTCATGACTGATAGAACTGAAAACCTGAAATGTTGATATATAACAATCTTTATTTCATAATGTGCTACCTGCAAAATTAGGATTTTAACTATTTCTTTTATAAGTTGCACTGTTTTTAGGCACATCATAGTGCACCAACATTACCTCATTACCTTTCAACACTGTTTTAAATTGACCAAGCTCTCAGACATAATAAACAGCAAACAGAAGTAACTATTTAAATGTGTGGGTATGAACTCTAAATCCACATTAACTTATCTTGAAATCTAAAGCTAACAGCTAGTTCAACAGGAAAAGAGACCAAGGTGGATTTCTGAAATAACTCAAGCACCGTAGCTTTAAAATTTATATTGTCATGTCTGTACTGTTTCATATGGAAAACAGAAGTAGGAGGTGGGGCACTTCCTACTAACTTTTTACTTTTTATTTGCATAGAAGGTACTCCTACATTAGTTTTCCCTGTTTCTTTTTTGTGTATCTGCTCTGTCTTCTCAAACTCCCAATTGTTCTTCCTCTTTACTCTTGCAACATGCATCCTCTGTATGAAGAATTCTGCTGTACCTACGTCAGGGGTCACCAACCCCAGTCCTCGAGGGCTACCATCCTGCAAATTTTAGATGTGTCTCTGCTCAAACACACCTGGATCAAATAAACTGCTCGTTTCCAGCCTATTGCAGAGAGGAATGAATGCTGGTGAGGGAATTCAGACATTTTGGAGCAGAGGTGGTAGCCCTAAAAGTTGCAGGATGGTAGCCCTTGAGGACTGGAGTTGGTGACCCCTGACCTACGTGATCGTTTGAGTGAATGCTGCAAATCTACAACTTAATTAAATGTAAATGATTTTCTTCAATAGAAACCTTTTTCAGCTAATGTTAATAATGAGCAAAACTTGTTGCACTGTTTGGTAAATAGGATCAACTAGTACGTATGTATGACTGAACTGAAATGACATGTTGTGAATTGGTGCTATATAAATAAGCTGATTTGAATTTAATGTGAACCTGAACTGAACTTGTAAGAGGTTTTTAAGTCAAAGAAGCTGCTTAATTGAGTTGCCATTGCACACACACACACACACACACAAAATATATATGAATTACTACTTTGACCAGAAGTAGTAATTTCTGGTTAAAGAAATTACTACTTCTGAAATGCCTAAGAATGGCATATTTCATTCTTAGGATGTACTTGGGCTTAATCACCAAAATAAACATCCAGAAAATACCAAAATACTGAAACAATGTTAATTTAAATATAGACTAAAGGACCATTTGTTTATAGCCACTGTTGATTAGTAACTGGGCCATCATAAAGTGAAGTCTGTTTTCCCTTACTTCACCACTGCAATATAACATTTTTTTTTTCCATTTTTGTTGTTTTATTTTCCATCTGTAAAGCAGAGGCCCCCTCAACCCTGTCATACGTGCACTGTCATCAGTGCATGTTTTAGATGCACTGTCCTGCATGTTTTAGATGTTTCCCCAATGGTTACAAATGGTTGCATTAACTCATTTGCATAGCTCCAGTTGCTGCAGAAGCCCGTTAATCACCCATTTACTTAAGCCAGCTGTAAAGAAGCAGAGAAACACCTAAAATCTGCAAGACAGTGGGGTCTCAGGACCTGGGTTGGGGACCTCAGCTGTAAAGCACATAGACATATACATTTTAGATTTTATCAGAAAACAACATTTAAAAACCACCCTGAACTATACTTTTATGTTAACGTTGTCAGCAATCCTTTAATTATTTATTAATCTAAAATAAAATAAAAAGATGACATGTGTATGACTGCAGCCACAAGACAAATCTAAAAAAGTAAGAAATAAAAAAAAGAGAAAAGAAAAACAATAGAACTCTGTCAAAAATAATCAACATCTGTTGGGATCCTCATCATTTCAAAGATTTTTTTGTCTGGGTGTTGAGGACAGAGGTTTCAGTCTGATTGGTAAGACTCCTTTGATTCATGACTCTCTTGGCCTGTCAGGCCTCATGATTTAGACTGTAGGATCTGCCTTTTGGTCCATTTTCTGGTCATGGTGATGCTTTAGGGCTGCCAAAGTCATTCTGGATTCCAGATACAGCAGGCTGAGGAAATCCTAGTCCAGTTTCTTTAAGTTCTGAGACATTTACACCATCAGTCCTGGGTGTAAGTGGTGTGCTAGCTGATAAACCTATTCCTGTGGCTACTGTATTAGATGGAATTTCTAATACTGCTGGTTTTAAGGCTGAGTGATGGACTTCTGGTGCTACTTCAGTCACTAATGAGGTTATCTGAGTAGGTGGAGGTGAACTTATAGATGTCTGAACTGATGGTGCGGCTTCGGCTCCAGTCCCAATGGTTCCAGGTGCAGCTGCAGCCTCGGCTGCCTTTGCATTCTCTGCAGCCTTGCTCTCCATCTCCTCCATCCTTCGCTGCACCATCCGAGGCATCAGCTGCACATACGTGCCCATCAAGCGGTGGTTTGTGCGAATCAGCTTCCCAGCACAGTTGTCCACACAGCGCTCCTTGACAGACAGTAGGAATATTAAGCAGAACAAAATATTACAGTACGGATATGTTATCTATGTCTGATTGCCCATGAATCACATCATCTATAATACAAGTATTTTATATAAATATACATCAACTCGTTTGCAACATGATGACACATGTTACAAAGGTAGCACGTATCAGTGTATTTAGATGACGGGGTTATGATTATGTCTGCTCCCAGTACCTCGTCCATTGTGAGGTTCCTGTAGTTGAAGTTACTTGTGCAGCGCTGGAAGCAGATTTCAGTCATGCGGTTGTAAACCAAAAGGAAATCCCGCAGCTAGAAGAAATACAGTCATTCAGAATCACCGTCCACGTCTCTATTTACAAATCGGCGAGAGGAAAATCAACTTACATTTCTCAGCTGCTGGTCAGGATCCATCTCAACTGACTGGGTGGTGAGCCACTGGTTTGCTAATGTGTTCAGTAAGCTGGTCTCTAGATCTTCGGATCCGAGGAAATTCTAGACTTACCAATGCGTGACTAACTTTAATGGATAAAGTAAAAAAAAAAAAAAATCCGTATGTTCAGATTTACTTTTAAACCTCTACGTCTAACCAATTACACCTGAAATGAGCTCATTCACATGAAGGATTTTAGTGGCATGACTTTCACATGCGAGCGGCCATGTTTGGAGCAAAGATCGCCTCTGCTTGTGAAGAGGTTTCACTCTGTGGCTGTTTGAACAAATGAAAAAAATAAATAAAAAAGGTTGGTGTTACAGCAAAACCAGTCCAGTTTTTTTTGTTTGTTTTTTTGTTACGTATATCCATCATGTATTCATATATCACTACTCCTGTAATCGGTATTTGAAAAACTTTAATAAGATATTAAACTAAAACGTTCTTTTAGTAGTTTCTCTTTTCAGTCTAACTTATTTTATTTATCTTATGTTTATACTTATCAAATACTACTCTAAGTCATATTTAGTGGACCGTGCTCAATTTCAGTTAAAGGTGAGCACTGGATTAATGAGTTAATCAGCTATATCAGATAAGATAATTCATTAATTCCCTTATTGCATTTTTTTTCTTCATTAAACTTAGAAATGACACATCTTTTGAATTGCAGTGTCCCTGCACCTGGCTAATAGTTTGAAAACTTTATGGCAGAGCCCTATTTAAAAGTTGCTTAAAGCAAAATTTCTACTGGTAGAATAAATTAGTAATAATGAATATTTATGAAATAATATTTATTTTTGTCAAAGATACCGCAATCGTTTTAAGGAGAAATCGCAATTCTCCTATATGTTTTCAGCTGTGAGAATAACAGAAGCAAATGTTGAGGCCCTTTTGCTCAAATATTATCACTGATATGGACTCATTAAATCAAACTACCATAATAACAATCTTGACTTCTCTATCAATATTTATTTATTCAGGGAAGAACTAAAGGTACAATTTGTGTTAGAAGGCTAAGAGTTTGATTACTTAACTCCTCATTCAAAAGATCTAAAGGGTATACTTAAAATATTTTTGAATTTTTGAATGAGGTGATGAAGAGTTAATATATCTGTGGTGAATCAGTGCCAAATGTAAATGAGATTGATCAAATAAACTCAGCATAAAACACATTGATATTTTTACATTAAAGTTGCTTTAAAATAGTAGAATTCTACTTTTTGTCTTGGTTCCATTTCAGTTATTGCAGCATCCTCTTGGATCAATCACACTGGATTTAGATTAAAGAAAGACCCAAAGTGGGACTTTGGGTCTTTCTTTAATATTAGAAGAAAAAAAAAAGTCACTTTTACCCAAAGCTCTGTTCAAAAATCCTGAACTATTCTCTTCGTGTTTCTTGGTGACCTTTGATCACAGGTGTCCAAACGTTTTGAAACGAGGGCCACATATGAAGCTAAAAATTAGTAGTGAATCACAGTTTTTAAATCACTTTTGTTATGTAAAATGCAAAAAACAAAACAAAAACAAAAAAAATAGCCCTAACCCTATTGTAAAAATAAACAAATACACAATATTTTAATTAAAAGTATTTGTTTGATTTCTATACAGATATTATCATTTTAGATGCATTTTAGGCTATAAGAGCGCGAGTCCCTCTTTTTCTTTTTTAAACTCTTTTATCTAAGTTTTAAATATTCTGCTTTCGAGTATAAGCTACTGGGTGTTTGAGGAACTATGCATTAAACTCTTATTCATTCAGTGAACCACTCAAAACTGCCTCCTCAGCCAAGCTCCCACCCCACACTCTGCATACTCCACTCCTCAACCACACGCGACCTGCCAATCATTCTACCGGGATTTGTCAGCAACTGACCAATCGGCGTTCGCAATTGGGACGCGCGTTTGTACCAGGAGAACGTTTTGGCGACATATTTTCTATAATACCGGAAATTTACGGGAAAATGCTAATACGCGAGCATGGCGGGGAAAAGAGATCAAATTGCCAGTTTCCCGGCCAAAACGGATATGATTACATTTCCAACAACCAAACAGAGCCTGTAGTAATGCAAGAAATGGATAAAGGCCTGCAGCCGACCTCATGACCAGTTAAATGAAACTGTTATCGACATCAACAATCACGCTTGTCTGGACTAAGGTAGTAAACATCCCATTTTCTTTTTGTCATAACGACACTTATTTATAGTCAAATCAAAGATCAATAGGTGAAAGTAGTTATGCTTGATTTTATGTGTAAATTCCAATGGTAGCTCTGTAGAAGCATGAAAACATGTGGTGCAGAAACTGCGTGTTTACATTTAAGAACATTTTTATGCAACTTGTTATTAAGCATTTTCCGCGAGGAAGATTTTCACAAGCCAGTATTAAGTCATTACTCAACCGCTTTGTAAATGCAAAATGCATCTGACACAGCTTTCACACTTGCGTCCGATGATGCTTGGTGCCCCTCATTCTTCCGCTGGCTTGCAAAAGAGTTGGGTTTTTTTTTGCAAGCCAGCGTTGATTTTAATTAAGTTGTTTTTGATAAACAGACTTTCCATAAGACCTGAATGTAATATAATTATTTGATTGTGGTACAAAATGACGGTATGTGCTTGGAAAATACGTATCACCCCATCTTTAAGTCTTCCACTTTAAGACTATTTTAATTTGTCTGCATCTTTTTTTTTGTTTTGATAATTGAACATTTCACTATAATTTGTTTGAAGTATATCACCATCATCAGTCTGGTGAGATAAATGTGAGCTATTCCTTAATTGTGGACTGCTGTCTCATAAAATCCTTCCAAAGGCTGCATATTGGGCACCTCTGCCTTATATTCTTTGAAGGTGTGTTACTGACAAGCAGACTTAGTCTATAGAGCATAGGACTCATAGGATATAAATCTGGCATATAGTCACAATGGTTTTGGGTCCTGTTTGCATAACATGTCAGAGTAATTTAAATTAAATTGATTAAATATGTTCTCATTTATCAAAAAGGCAGCAATTTTAAAGATATACTATTGGTCCTCAATCATGGCTAGTCATCCATATATAACATGACTGCTGTTACATACATTAAGGAACGACTAAAGGATTAAATCACCAATAAAAATTGGATCGTGTCTACATTTACGATCAACTGGGAACTTTTTTGTAAAGCATTATTCATTAATTTCTGCTGCCATGCAAAAAGTCATCAGAGTAATTTAAAAAGAAACAATTCAACAATAGAGAGGCACAGGCAAGACAATCATAAATTAACATTACACTGGCAGTGGTGTTTTATCACTAGAAACCATTAGACTAGCTAAAAAAAAGTGGCATCATTTTTTTAACTGGTCTTTTGATCAGTAGCAACATGACAAAATTATGTACAATGAATAATTTGAAATCTTTCAAAAATCACTCAGCTTTATTAAACAATATTAAGCTTGCCAAAGACAAGCTATTATCTTGGACAAATAATTAAATATTTTTGAAAACTACTGATTGAACATCCTTCCTATAAAGAATAAAGTAACATTTATTTCTCAATTTGTACAACACAGTGGAATAAAAATGTTATTTTGGCATTTGCTGCTGCTGTTCATTATAATAAATCACTGTTTCAAGTCTCGTCAGAGAGCAGCATCTGCACACATTAAGCCATCACTGTCGAGTGTCAGTGGCTCACCTTCCTGACAGATACCTTTGTTTTTTGTAAAAAGAGGAAAGGACTTGAAAGGATTTTCCTGTCACCTTTCATCGTGCAATCATCTGCTGTCGCAAGAAACTTTAAATCTGTAGCTCAACCAAAGGAAGCTGGGATTAATCCTGTGCCTCAGGGTTTCCGAGAAGCAATGTCATGTAACGACTGAAACTTTGACAGAATTCATAGCAATGGCGGCTGTCTTTTTCTGGTAGTATATATGTAGGCCTTCACATGTTGCAAAATGTTGCTCATGAGACACTTCTTAGAAGTTGAATTTACAGAGCATTAGAAAAGTTTTTTTAGCTCTTAAACTTTAGCATTCTGCACACAAACCCACAAACTTTAATATGCTTTTTTTGGGGGGTAATGTTATGTTATAGGCTTACACACAATAAAACTTAATTATTAGTTGAACAAAAAAAAAATGTTTTAAAATATGAAAAATCTGAAATCTCTTGGAGTTTTCTTGGATTCATGATAATATTTGCGAGGCCTGTCAGTTTAGGTAGATCGACATGTGCTGGTAGGTTTGCAGTTGTGACTTCTCTCTAACTACTAGTATGTCTCGGACCTGTGCGCTGCGGTTCTTGGTCTTTCTGATGCGTTGTGGTAATATTCTCACAAACATCTGAGAAACAAAGCACGTAGACTTATTTTGCAATTGTAAGAAATTCTATTTGTTGGTTTTGAAAGCAGTCGGTTTACTTACTTTTTGTTAAAGTGCAGCAGAGTAAAGATCCAAATGCTGAACGTATCATTTAGAGTTTTTTTGCTTAAAATTTTGAAAACCATGAATACGTTTGGTTCCTATTCACAATTGTGGGCTAGTTTCTGCAGGTTTATCTTTATCATATAAAATCAATCTTGAATAAGAAACAAATTTAAATTTGCAGTTGGAATAAAATATCTTGGAGTTCAGAGGATGTGAATCCCTTTACAAGACATTGAATCAAAATTTTCCATGCAAAAAGGGCAACTGTTATGAAAAGGGGACTTTTACTTGTGATTGCATTTCATTGTAGCTTTCTGTCTATCTGCCTATAATGCTTAGGGGTCACATATAATTCATAAGTGTAAAATAGGCTCTTATCCCTTGAAAAACTGTCAACAGACATTGTGCTTAAAGGCCTGTGAGTGCTGAGTTCACCTTCGAGCTTATGCTGTCAGTAGACACCAGGGCAGTAAATTGCTCTGCAAATTGGGGATTACAGAGAGGAAGACATTCATTTAAACATCTGGAGCATTAGCTCAGACTGTAAACATAATGACCTTTATCATAGCTTTGACAGGGAAAATCCACCGTGGGTGACATTTGCAGTTTAAACAGTGTGACAATTCTCCCCGTGGGGAAGATAAAAAAGCAAACTGCTATTTATTGTCATCATTATGTGTTTGGTTCCAGTTTCTATACTGTTAGCTTAATTTTTTTTTTGTTTTTGAATGATTTAAAAGTTGGTTTGCCCGTGGAACAGGAAGGCGCAGTTATTCAAACTACAGTCACCCACACCATGGAAAACAGAAATACTTTTTTTTTTTTTCTGCCTTCATACTTTTTTATGAGACATCTTCTGATGGACGAATAAGAGACATCAAAGGAGTGAAAGTTCTTCTGTGTCCTGTGATGATTCAATCTTTTCCCTGCGTTTCACAACAATCTGCACTTTCCACATGGCTCTTGACCTCTAAATGTCACTCAGAATTTCCTCTTTCTTTTTTTAAAGTAGTTTATTACAGAGAAAGCATAGTATGTTCCTGTTGCTCAATATGGAGACTTTAAGAGGTAGATTGTCTGTGTCAAGGAGGAAATTTCTCAACTCAGCGAAGCGTGGAGAAAACTGAAGATGATAGTTACAGTTTTTGCTCTGAAAATATGAAAATAATTTAAAATTTTTCTAGAGTACAAGTTGAAAAGTTTGAGAAAAGTAATATAATACTTAAATATATAGTTAGACACAATCATGGTCAAAGCTGTCAGTGACTTGATTTGAGCAGCTCTGAGTATTTTCTACCTCTAAAAGCTCGATACATATATTCCCATTGCGATCATCACAATTATCTTTTCTGTCCTCACTTTCTCGATCTTCACCCCAATCTCTTCTCCGTCCTTCCTCGCTCTCTCGTAAGCCATCCCATCCCACATTGTCCTTGTCCATGCTGATGCCTCTCTCTCTTTCCATCTCCTCTGCCTCCTGGGCTATCTGTTGACTGTTGAGATAGATGCTGCTGTGTGAGACCATGACACTGGTGTCTCTGGATGGCAGGTGAGCGTCCACTTCCGTGTCCACCTCTAAGAAGGCGTTCAAGGGAGACGTCGGGTGCTCCGCCAGCGGATCGTGTTTCTTGTGGCGTCCTTGTGCCTGGCCTTGCATGTGTCTGTTTTTCTTGCGATTCTTTGCGATCTTCAGATCCAGTGAGGCGTAATTCAGGTCGGACTCTGGAGGCTGGTTTTAGAGAGAACAGATGAAAATGTGAGACATTTTCTTTCTCCTTTTTGCTTCAGACACACTTCTATTTTTGTAGCGCTTGTCTAGTTTATTTTTAGAACATTTTCTTCTCAACGGCGCTCACTGGTTTGCAGTTCCGCTGACCACAATGTGTTTCAGAGATGCTAGCTGCCTTCCGTTCTGAAACGAAATCTGTCAGCATGGTCGCAACGTGACATGTACAACAAATAACATGCAATGATAAATTTAGTCTTGTGTGAGCAGAAGGACAAATATACAACCAGTTTTCAAGTTTCTGCTATGGAAAAACATTCCCACAGAATGCTGCCACCTCCAGGGTTCACAGCAGGGAGAGTGTTTCATGTGCAGGGTTAGGTTCCCTTCAGACGTTTTACAAACAGTTTAATTTTGGTCTCGTCTGCAGAGCGCTGTTTTTCACATAATTTGCCTCGACCAGAATTGTCAGTGTTTAATTGCAACTGCAAAGCTCTTGAAAATAATAATCAATGTGATTTATTTCAAAGGGCATTTCTGAGTGAAATACATGCAAGTCAGCTGTATGATTATTACAAAAATTAATGAGCAGAATCAATCATAAACAAAGCCCCCATCCTATTAGGACCCTTGGTGAAGATGTGTTAGGAATGTAAAAAAAAAAATATTTTATTGCAGTAATAAACCTTTTTCACAGCATATGCTGTGTGTTTTTATTTTGTCACAGTTTTATGTGTTTTTAAGTTTCTGGGGAATTTAACTGAGTAGTAACTTTCTTGTAACCATTTACTGATTTATGAAGCTCAACACTTATTTGCCTGAATAGCATGCTCTCTTTTTTTTTTTTTTTTTTTTTTCGTTTTTCTCCAATGCTGACTAGTGGCTCAGAGAAATGGAGCAGAGTATCTTGTCCAGTTTATATCATTTTGACATTTAAGTAAATGTATTTATTGTTTTCTTATTTTGTAAAAACCGTGAAAGGTGCTGGTAATTCGATATAAGAAATACTTACTTAAAATGGGACTAAATAAATCATTTTAAATATACTTAAATTTACAAATTGATTTTCATTAAAGAAAATTGTGAGATTATGCTTCTGCAGTAAAAGATTGATTTATTAGGTTTTATTATAGGTGGCGAAGAATGTGGAAGGCCCGTAATTCAAAATGTTAATTTGACTAAACATCACATTAAGTCTTGGGACTATTGTAACAGTTGAACTAATACAGTATAAGAAGAAAACCTTCACACTGAAAATGTTAGTTTACAGTACATTTTTGTTTATAGTTTCTGAAGCAATGATTTCATTTCCACCGAGGGCAAATGAAGTCATATTTTGTTTTCTCAATAAAGCAAGGACCACCGCTAAGGTGAACTTCAACAGCATTTAAATGCCGGCTTAAATTGCTAGCAGAACGACTACAGAATAAAATATTCATCACATCTCAGCAAAATGCCACTGGTGAAGAAACTACAAAGGTACAGAGCCATCGGTCACCTTGAGGCTCCTTTGAGTACAAGAAACTGTGGTGGGGCAAGTTAAAGTCGGTCTTTTCATGAAAGCGCATCTGTAACAAAAGCAACATTTAAGTCAAAGCAGTGTCAGCCGTGTGCTAATGCTGCTGACTTGAATTAACAAAGCCCCGACAAATTCAAAGCAACATCAAAAATGAACATCATGCCCAAAACAAACAAAAAAAAAACAAAACAGAGGGAAACTGGAAGAGTAAGCCCAATGGCTTTATATTTCTGACTCTTTGCAACATTATTTTGACTTCTCGGTAACTGTGACGATATTAAATTTTACTGATAAAGGACAGTTAAGATTATGTCATATAACTGAAATGGATGACTTCTGAATTATAAAAAAAAACAAAAAACAACTGTTACCTTAAGACGATCTCTAGTGCGCTGGATGGACATCGTCTCGTAGCAAACCTCTGAAGAACCTGCCGTAACACACACTTGTAAGTTAACTTGACTTTATTTTATTTGATTTATTTATTTTTTGACAAAACTGATAAAGAATTCTAAATTCCAGTTTGTGTTTTAAAGGAGTCTCTGTTCAACATAGAATAATCCAATTCATAGCTTACCAGCCCGAATATTTTAAAATGTAAGCAAGATATTATCATCAGAATTGCATCTAATTCCTTAATAATAGGAATCTACTGCCAAAATTGGAATCCATAATTCAGATACCAGTTCCAGTGGTTTTAGTCTTGTTTCCTGTTGTCCAACAGTGTCCATACTGTACTAACAGACCATATTTATTACACTGGATGTACATATCAGAAAAGAAATTCATTACACTGGATGTACATATCAGAAAAGAAATTCAAGGTGCAACTTGTTTCTGATTCTGGAGTGCAAAATGTTTGAAATAATGATTGTGAAAAGCAAAGCAAATTTTGTTCAAAAACAGGAAAACCATTCACAGCCTTTTTTCTTTTTAAACCATTCTTTTTTTTCTTCTCGATTGAGTCATACAATCATAAACACGTTCATAGATTTCCCCTTTTTTAATAGGTGCCAGAAAGCAGATTTGTGCTTACCACGTCTTTCTGTGCTGATGTTGCCATAGATTGGATTTTCCTGTCGCTCATGGTGATTGTGGGGATTTTCCTGCTCCTCTTGATGTCTGACGTTACCAAAATATTGCCCTTCGATTTGTGATAGGCTGCAGTCAGATATGAAAAGACCAGTTTTACACTTTGCTTGAAATAGGAATTTAATGCATGTTGAGTTGAATTGTATTTTCTACAATTAAGTCCAATTCCAAAGCGAATTGAAAATAAACATACGTTTCTTCTTCCGAACTGTGTGGTTGGCAGCAGTTATGTGGTTCTGAGTAAACAAAAAGGCAACAATTTATAGCAAATTTTAAACAGAAAAAGCACAAAAATATGTGGGAAAGGGAATCTTTAATTTACCTTTACATGAAATGTGTCTTTGTCTTAAGCAGAAGATGATATTCAGACACACAGAGATTAGCAAGGCCAGAGACACGAGTATCAGGGCTACTGACATGACAAAAAAAGAAAAAAAAACAAACTTGAATCTGTGTTGAAATGAAGACTAAAATATTTATAAATGTACATCTTTACTTTTTGAACTGTCATATTGAAATCATACTTTTAAGCTTGTGACAAACACCCAACAACTGCGGTCTAAGATTCTTAGCCTGAAAGGAATAATGCAGTTCTGAACAATAGGTGTATCTGTACCCCTGTTTTTTGTGTTCCTTTATCTTATTCACACAAAAAAACAAGGAGACAAGTTAGGATTCTTTATTTAAAAATCTGATTTTTATTGTGACTTTGTGCATATACCTGTGTAAGAAATGGAAAGACTTTTCATTGCCACTAATTTCTTTCCTGTGACCTTTTGTCGTGACACGTTTTTTACGTTTACTCAATTTGAGATTTGGCCTTTGCGACATTCACATTGAGGCTAATATTTCCTTGAATTACGAATATATTATAAAAAGTATTTTATCTTTCTGCTGTACAAATTTAAAACAAATCCTCTTACCTGTTATTCCTTCCATTGTCCTTAACTAAGCTAGTTGTCTCGTTGTCTCCGTTTTCCTCATTCTATGGGGCATCACTGCGCTCCGTCTTGTACTACACTGTCTATTTTTACCCCGCCTCTGCTCCCTCTCTGCTTTCACAGCGCTTTGAAAACTTGCTGCTTTTCAGTTACAAACAGGAAACAATGTAACCTCATTTTGAAGCAGATTGCCTCAATGCCATTTTGGGGAGTAAGAATATAATTTCATCATATCATCTAAACTTAGCATAACATTTGATCAAAATGAACCAAAAGGAGGACGTTCCAGTTTGGTTACCAAAGCAGATTGTTGTTGTTGTTGTTAAGACCAGATGTTCAGTCAGCAAAACCTACATATTTTTTTTTGTTTTACTTTGATTCTTCATTATATTTGCATTTTCACGGTGAGGATGCAACTATCAGCACTCGCCCAAATTTCTTTTTCTACAGTACAGTATCACTTTACTATCGTAAAACTGCAGAGATGCTGTATCTCGAATTTATATCTTGCATGCACAATAGCTTGTGGTTTTGCAAGTGTGGTCGGAAAATCAGAAGAAAAAAAAAAACTGCTGTCGTGAATTTTTTTCTCTGTAAAACTAAATAGGAAACTGTGTGTGTGAAAGTACATGAGGCTGTGTTAGTATATTGGGACAGCATTTGGGTGAGGTTGCGAGAGTTGGGGGGTGGAATTTATGTAGAGTACATTTAATTTTTATTCAATTTTAAATGACCAAAATGATTTGCAAAAGAAGAAGGAAAAAAATATACCAGGTTTGATCGTTTGTGGTGAATATGTTTGCTAGCCTTTACGTACATTGTGGTTTGTGGTTTTAGCCCTGCTTTGTCAACAGAAGTGTCAATTTGTGGTAGCTGTGGACAACAGTGGTCTTTGATATTGAGCTCCTCGTCTATTGGCAACAAAAACAGCTACATCAAAAGACCTCACTGGGCTTTCAGGCGAAAATCCCCATTCATAAGTTCCAGAAAAGAAAAAGATTTGCAGATTTGACCAAGTCAGGCCCAAAATACCAGCATTTAAAATGATCTTCATTTAAAGTTCAAGATTCTGAGAATATAATTTTGCTGGTAAATGTAACACGAATCCAGAGAGTTGCCTATGCACTCAAGAAATATAAAGAAATTAAAAAATCTGGATGGAGGGTGGGAAAAGTTTGCTCAGTCTCTCCTCCTTGTTGCTTCTTTTCTGTTTTCTTCATTAATGTGCTATTCTGTCTGGTCTACTGTTTTTAACTTCCTTACTCCAAAGTCTTCTGTATTTCCAAGCAATTCTGCCCTGACAGATGAGCTGAGGATATTGCTTCCCAGTTTTCTATCCAGTGGGACTTGGCTGTGTTTCTGGAGGGAAAGCAGCTCATTGATACAACAAACTGTTCTCTCTCTGTATGTTCTGGACTGTTCCAGGAAATAATCAATAAACATATCAAATACCAGAATCATGGGGTCTATATAGAGATATACAAATAATTTTTTACACCTTTAGGAAGAAATCTACTCCAGGACAAATGAGATTTTTCACTTTTAGATTATTTAATTTGACCTATATATGTGCTATCTTACCAAGACACCTGGGAAAAAATATCTGTCAGGATCAAAAAATTCACACATTTCTTTGGCACGAATGACGCATGGATTTGGGACTTTTACTGATAAACATCTGAGTGACAGAGATCCTGAAGCTCAGAACAAAATTGCTCACAGGACTTGCATGGAGAGTCTGATTATGGGATGTTTTTTTTTTTTTTTTTCCCCATTGCATTGCCTTTGGGTGTTTGTGTTTTTTTAAAACATTTTTAAGAAGAGCGCAAAAACCGGTGCTTGGAACCAGACAGATTACGTCATGATTGTGCTAATGGGTTTGGGTACTGGTAAATATTGTATGTGGTTTTGAATGTTTATAACTACTATGACTGAATACCAATTACTGGTACTTTTCTTGTAGGAGAAGCTTCCAGTAAAACAAGGATTTGCCATTTGGGCCTCAGGAGGCACAGTACTCTAGAGCTCCACAACCAGGGATCTTTATATATTTTGTTGTACTAGCTTGAAAAACCTGAGTGTTATTTTTCTGCAGATTTATTTTTATTTTAATAGGAAACAAAACAAAAAAAAATCATCTTTCCAATCATTATCTGCACAATGCATTTCCACCAGCTGTGGTACGATAAAGCAACATCAAGTGACCACCGGACGCCTGATGTCTGAGTCCTTCCAACTTTAATCAAACCCCTGGAGTCATTGTTTTAAAGCCTGATTTATAGCAAGAAACCAACCAATTTCAATAAGCACTACAAATTATACCACAAAAAGAAGGATAATTGCTGAACAGGGCACGGTTTCTCCTAGACTAGATGTTTAACTATATATTAGTAGTGTTATATGTATGTTTTGAAGCGTGTTGACCATAAGTGCATTAAAAAAAATCCTCAACAATTATTCACACTGGCACACCTAATTCTTGTTTTTGAAATTATCGAACTTGTATGTTGTTATTGTACACAAAGAAAATATGACATTCCAGCTGAGGATGACCACCTTACAGAAAGTACAAAATATGAATGTGTTGATAAATGTCATGTAAAACCTATATATAAAATAACTTTCCTCCATATTCCACAACAACCACACAAATTATTCTCAAACAAAGCACACAAACACCATAATGCATCAATAACACATTATTCACCGGGGTTTATTTTGTTCATTTATTTAATTTTAAATTTGATTGAGTAGGGACATATAAAACTTAAAACAATGTTAAAAGAAAGACTTGTCCTGTCTGTACAACTGCATATTGGTGAAGGCCTTGTAAGGCTTTTAGGAGTCAACTTTTGAGACTAATACAAAGAAATATCTAAAATTAATAGCAGAATTACACTTTAGTACAATCAAGAGATGACCTGTAAAGCTATTCTAAAAATAATGTGAAACAGTAACCTCAAACTTCAAAGAAGAAAGAAAAAAATGCATAATACGTGTAAGCAGTAAAAGTTCCTGAGTTCACATGTTTGTCTCTGAGCCATTTTTGTATATATAATGAAAAAAGTCTGGAGGCTAGTCAATTGTTTGCTTACTGCTGGCAAAAGCTCTTACTGATCAGCACTCAGTGTTGAGAGAGTGTGAGTCACTCTGATTTGGAGTGGTATAGGTCACTGAAGGAGAAATGTCCATCCTACAAAAAAGAACAAGAGCAGGAGTATTGATGTGTGACGTTACTGGATAGACAAATTCAGAGTGAGATCCTCTATGGTAAAATATGGGATAACGTTTTTAAACTGTTTGATTCAAAATCTTGATTGGGGATAAGAAGTTAAAAAAAGAAAGGTTTATTTTTATTTTTTTTTTACCTGTTCATCATTTTTGTCCTGTAGAGAATGACAGCTGCCACACCAAATGCCAGTGAAACGATGATTAACCTGAACAAAGGATGAGCCAGCTGGTTTCTAAGAATGAGTGGCGGAAGAGTTCACATAAACTCTTTCTATATTTTAATAAACATGTCTAAGTGTAGCTCACTTGTTATAGAATTTACATCTGAGTAGCGCAGATATAAACTGAGTATGTGAAGGACAAACTTTGAACCTTTATATAGAAAGGAGAATGGACATTTTTCCTCAAAGACATGATCTTGGAGACTAACGTATCTGTGTACATGAGCATAGGTGGGGCTCACTGTCTGGAAATCTGTCTGTACCCAAAATTGAACGTTTAATATAATAATAATATATAGGAAAGAACCTATAATTCTTTCCTATATATTCTTTCTGTACTTTGACGATAGTTGAAGGTTCACTGCTTAGCAATGTTGTCAGCTTGTTTTGTGTTGAATGGCTTTTATCTTGAGTTGACTGTCAAATCAATTGCAAGAAATAATGATTATGTGTTTAACATCACTCTGAGATGAAATTTCACAGTTAATACAAAGGACTGAATATTAGTAGGCTGTGATTCTCCTACTAATATGACGTTGTGTTGAATTTTACAAGACACAACTGTTTTTGATTTGCTACTAAACTGTGAACCCCATATGAGAAAAGAAGGGGCAAATGTTTGTGCCGCAATATGTGTGCTGCGATACATTTTAATAAGTGAGAAATTGAGTATTTTGCATGTGCACTGATTTCTTTTAGACCCTTGTACAAGAAATAATTTGAATATAAAACCAGGTGCTTGCAACAGCACAGAAGTTTCCATTATGTCATTACTAATTAATTAAAGACTACACCAAACTGAAAGTCTGGGCTTCCCTCAAGAGTCCATTACCTCAGCAACTCACCTCTCAGGTCAGTAGATGGATGGATATTTATCAGTTTATTCAGTTACCTTCTTATGATATGGCTAGTAGCTTCAAGGCTTTTAAATTTCCTTCACTGAGATTTCACTACAGCTGAATAAATAAAATGTAAGTGTCTGCTTTCGGATTCAGTGCAGTTTATTAACATAATCAGTGTACTTTGGCCTGTTAGATTGCTAATCCAGCCCTGAGAATCTGATGAAATTGAGTGTGACATGAAGAGACAGGCAGCAACAAAGAAACTGGAAAGCTAACCTGTCCTTAAACTGGTGGTTGCAGTCAGCACGGAGGTAATAAAATCTTTATGCAGACTTTTGTCTCCCATGTTGACTGTCAGCTTGTAAACGCCTCCATGTGCTTCTGTCACCTGCCAGAGCTCCAGGCATTCATTTTCTGCAACAAGCTTCTCATCCTTGGTCATAAAAACAATTAAGCTGAACACAGTTATTCTTTGCACTAAATCACTCATTTCGGATGTCTACAGTTGTTTATAAGCTTCCAAAATATCAGAGGTTAACTGCTCGATTGGAATCTCTGTATTTCATCTATGTGTCTGTTTTCCTTACCTTAGTCCACATGTAACGCGCGTAGGAGCTTACTGTGCAATGAATTGTAGCATTGTCACCTAAGTAGAGCTCCACAGCTTCACTTGTATTGCACATTAATTTGTCCTGATCTGGGAAGAAAATGTGATGTATATTTGATCCCCTAAAAATACAGAAATGCTGAAAAACCATTAAAATCTGATGAGGGAACAGAATGCATCCAGAGTTCTTACAAATCACGGTCATAACTTCCTCTTAAAACTGTCTGGCTGTTCCCTCATCAGCCAGACACATTTATAGAGCCGGGCAGATGAGGGAACAAAACTGTTACTGGCAAATAAAGATGAAATGTAGTATATACATTCTGCAGGCTCGCAAGCATCTTCGTTTGTTACTGGTTTTTTTTTGTTTTTTTTTTATAAATAATCAAGCAGTCTTGCCTTTCACTGTTAACTTTGTCTTATTGATAAATGAACCTGAAGAAAATTTAAAGAGTTCACAGATATAGATTCCACTGTACCATTTGTTCACGCAAGGAAGGTGTAGATATGAACCAATTAACTTGTTTGCGTCATTTCTTTTCTCTTGGATGGTCACATTGGGCCAATACTGAAGAGAACCATAAACAGTGTTATGCACAGCAAGGCTTCCTTTTTACTGTAGATAGATACTGTAGCTACTGGAAGGTTCTGTCACATGATTACAAATATTTGCTGAGACTGCACAAGTTTTCAGCAAACCTCATGAAGATTTGTTTCTCAAATAAATAAAAAAGGGTAAGTTAATTCCGAATGCTAAGAGAGGCTGAGGCATGAATATAAATTTGATCCACAGAGGCACCAAACGCATAGACAAAAGCATATTGAACAAGAAATCTTATCTTCTTCCTGGTTCAACTGTCGCACAAAGACCTGAAGTTGTGACGTCTAATATGTATATATAAACTTTATTTTAAAGATCACTTTTGTCTTTATACTAACCGTAAACAAACTTAGTGCAACAAAACTCACCTTGAAACCATAACAACTAGCTTCTGATGGTCCTTGATGTAATTTGTTAAATTATTCAGGGTTTGTAATTGATGTATTAAATAGTGTGAAGAATAATATTGCTTCCCCCCCCACCTTTTAGAAATTTATAACTGTACATATGCATAAGCAAAGTGCCTTCTGGAGAAAAGCTTACAGTCAATGCAATGGCTTTCACAAACACTTTATCAACAGTCAAACATGGTGGATGGGGCCTTTTTGATGCCATAGATACCAGCGCTTCACACAAGGTGGATGAATAAGATGCCAGTCATTTCTTGTTTTGGAAAGAAGACAATTCAATGTAAATCATTAAGATGGCTGCC